AACACGGAAAAAGACAAACAACTGTAGCGAAACCGCCTGTAAATCCTTTCAAACCAGTTATGAAGGAAACTGTGATCTATAATGAAAAGAAGCCGCCTACAGCAAATGATGATTACTGTAAGAGATTATTATTATCACTAGTATATGAAATTCATTCCTTTGTAATTGTATCCTGTCATTTTTGTGTAGACAACCAGATTTCATTACTCTTGAAATACCAACACGCGTCGGTGGCATAGCGGTTAGGACGCTGGCCGACCGATCCCCGGACACACGGACGCACTCCTTTACCTCGCTAAGCCAGAAATAAAGCTGGTGAAGAGGAAAGGTTGGGCATGAGGCTAGCAACCCAATCCTGTAAAAATAAACACCACTGCTACAGAAACTTCAAGCCATTAGCTTGAAGCCCTATGTTCCACTGGGGAACGTGAAGGAAAAAAAAATACCAAAACGCATGCAAAAAAGTGGACGGTTGAGACAACAAATAAAATATATGTATTCTAGTATAACAACAGAAGTCAACGGCCAGGCAACAAATCGTTTATTAAGGAAATCAACACAATATTTACAGCTTTTGATGTACATTATTAAAGATTATTGTTAGCAGACAAACACAATCTTCTGATTGGTGGTTGTTTCCCACTGAAAGTTAATCTTTCATCTATTTGTGGCTGTTTTTCTTGAATGTTAGATCATCTATATGCTAATTGTATTCGCCTAGGCAAAGTCTGCTGTGGTTGGTTGTTGAATCAGTCTTTATTTATACTTTTTCCTCACGACTAATATTGAGGACGTAATCACTGACGCAAAATTACCACTTACCAATTTGGCTAGCAGCCAGCTCTCACCATACTAGTATTTTTTTATTGTTCCTTTACGTTCCCAGGGGAACATAGGGCGCCTTCAAGCTAGAGCCAGCTTGAAGTTTCTGTAGCGCTGGTGATTACTTTTACAGGATCGGGTTGCTGCTAGCCACCTCATGCCTCCCCGCCCAACCTTCCCTCTTTACCAGTCTTACTACTGACTTAGCTAGGTAAAGCAGGAGTGCCGGGGATTGAACTCCGGACCACACCTGAGGCGTGGTCGGCGATCACTCTACTGCTGTGCCACCGATGCACGTTTAGCCGTATAAGATATTTATAATACACTTTTTATTTTTTTTCTAAATACTTAAAGATCTGAAACAGGTGTACCACCTCGGAGAGGAGGTTCACAATTTCAAATTTTTTTCGCTTACCTATCCCACAAAGGTTGATGCCTTGCTTTCTTATTGTTCTCAAAGCGAAAGACTGTCGCAGTTAGTTCAGGAGGAGACTGTAGATTTCAAGAAGCTTATAGGATAGCAACAATTTACTACTGAATACTTTAGAAGCATATATTATATACATCACTTCCTAGTTGTGTCCAATGGCTAGACCACGTCAGTAGGCAGTGTCTGCAACCAATATAATTGTGACATGCTCTGAATCCTAGCAGTATAAGAAATCAACAACTTTCTTTCCTAGTTCATGTGTGTGCGTCAGTGGCACAGTGGTTAGGACTCTCGCCAACCATGCATATGGTCAGGGGTTCGATCCCCTGCTGACGCACACCTGATATCTATGGTCGGCCTGCAAATTCGGGCTACCGATATTGCATGCTGAAAATTCCATACCTGTAACAAAAAATACGATGTGTAATCAAGCTGTAGTCAAAAGAAATACTTCGTCTTTATCTAACCACCTTATAAGGTTTATATGCAATGAATTCATTAAATAATTGTAATTGCATGAACTGACTCAATTCCATTCAACCTCTACAAATCTCTTTTTCTTTTTTTTTTAGATGATGATGAAATCTCAGAGACTACATGGATTGTAAAAATAGGCGATAAAAATGTAACTGACAAGGATATACTGAATTACATCACTAAACAGGCTAAAAATCAAGATTTATTTAAAAATATTCTTACAAATAATAACACTAATGATTCAGGTGAGTAGATTTTGAAAGTAACAAACCACTTGATACATTTTGGATAAATTCTGTTGAACTAAGAATGAAAATTTCAGTTGATGTGTTCGAAAATATACTGAAAATTAATCTAATGCTCACTAGTGACTGAAGTTCTAATGATAAATTGTGACAACAAACAAGGCATCCACAACCAGTCGGCAGTGAGGAGAAATACTCACCGTCGATGATGATATTGACTGACTGGTGTCAGTCGCACAAAAATCGGTAGAAGTTAGAATGTGTATCGGCTGGCCATCGAAAAGTTAGATCTCTTGCCACCCGCGTCCGACGCATCTGCAGCTCTGATACCATGGAAGAAGAACTAAACTTCCTGAAAGAAACCTTCATACAAAACGGTTACCCATCAAGATTCGTAGACAAAAACATCAAACAAAAAATCCAAAAGCAAGAAACAGCATCTGTGCCAAAAAAGATACTTTATATGAACCTCGACTTCAAAGGAGACCTACTCAGTGACGTCCTTAGAAGGAGAATCTCCACCTCTTTAAGAAGAACTTTCTTTGCGGCAACATTGAGAGTACTTTTCTCTAGTCGCCCGCTGATCTGCAGAAGCCCAAAAGACAAGATCCCGCACCTGACCACTTCTATATGTATATATCAGTTCACCTGTTCCTGTGGAGCCAGGTACATCGGTCGTTCAACGCGTATCCTGTCAAAAAGGGTCAAAGAACACTATCTAGCGTATGGCTGCATAAGGAGTGCAATAATAGAACACCTCGTCAACACTGGTCATTCCATCTCAACGAACGCCTCCTTCAAAGTAATCTACAAAGTGAAGAACAACCTTCCAAAGACAGTACGATTCCGTCTTCTTTGCATCGCAGAAGCCCTAGTCATTATAAGGAACCAGAACTGTGCATACAAAAGAAAATCATTCAACCACTTCTACTCCCATGGTAACAACTGTGTTGATTTGACTTAACTTTTCCTTGTTTGTTTGTTTGGTTTGACTTAACTTTTGTTTGTATGCTTATTTTTCTACTCAAAACCCTTGTGTAATTCCGTATATTTTGTTTCCATGTACACCCTGAGTACAACTCTTTCATTAAACTATTCATGTTATTACGCAACTCTTCTTTAACAATCGTTTGTGACAACTCATCACTTTTGTTACTACTCTCTTATATCAACATCCAACTCACCTGAACTTACTAATTGTATTTTCGTTTGACAAATTTAATGTACACACACATACAAAACAACCATATATATTACGATTTTACAGCTATGAAAATGAATTCACCGAAAAGAGACTCTTCGTTGAACTACCTGTCTTCTATCTATTAATGTTCGAATGGGAATTTTTCATGAATTAAAAGTGCTTAAGAGTTAGAATCTTATTTTATCCCTGTTTAGACAGTCTTTTACTTCTAATATACTCACAATTATTTTTTTAAATAATAAATTTAAAATTTTTTCTATTAAACTTTCAAGATAAACATGAAATAGAGACTGAAACATCTTGGTTCACAGCACCGAAGACTGTTCATAAACTAACTGATAAGAAGGTTGACAAATTTTTGGATAAAGAGGCGAACTTAAATCATATTCTAAAGATGTTTTTACCAACAAATGAGCCAACTAAACAACCAAGTAAGTAGTAGCTTGTAATTTTACTACTACTTATATACAATTTTAAATCCTTAACAAAAATTTTTTTTCAAGTATCGGTTTTGTAGGGATTTTGTTTGATTGGTTGGAGGATCGCATCATGAATTGGCGGAAGTAGTTAGAATTCGTGGGTTGGCTATTGGATTGGATCCTAGTGGCTTAGAGCTCTACGAGCTTGCCTTGTAATCAGAAGGTCCTGGCGTGCTGTGAAGAGCCCCACACTAGGACGAAACAGTTATCCAGTACTCCCAGCTCGTTTTCCGGTGGTTCTCTAACTGATGTCAGCTCATGATGACATCTTCCAACCAATCGAACATATATTTACTTTCAAAATGATAATTCGCTAATTGAATCTTTTAAAGACTTAGTTTTCAAAACATAGCATATCTTCAGCTTTCCTTTATAGGTTGGATAAATAATTCAGCCTTAACTGACTATCAAACTTTTACTCATTATAAATATTCTAGATCATAGATGTTACGAAATTCCTGAAAATAATTTCAGCGCTGAGTCAGAGTGTGAATCATTCATCATAAAATGACTTAAAATATAATCCCAGCTTGTGTTTAAACAATAAAATCATCAAAACAAGATTTCTCTGAACGTCTCGCTGTGTAAGCCTCGTAGCTTCTTCAGCAGAATTACTCGGAATTTATTAACCATCAAAATATACTTAGTCAAAAATTGCATAAACTGAAGTGAACTCATTATGAGGGTCACTTTTCGGTGGAAATTTTTACCTATAGAAGAAGTAAACAGTCATCAAATATTTGTGATCACTTATGTTAAATTTTCTCCAATATAAAAATAAATTTTGACTGGAAATGGATAAAGAAAAATGAAAAATCTTGGGTGTCGACAATAGCCATTCCATATAGAAAGGACACGCACGGGTAAACAACTTCGAAGAGTACTTGCTTCATATAATGTTAGAGTTTATTTCAAGTCGTCTAACTGTTTAGAGACAGGTTTGGTGAGCGTCAAAGGTATACATTTTTCAGAATAACACAGCACAACTGTGTCTATAGAATAGTGTTCAAGAGGTGAGACTTGCTACATGAGGGGAAGTAGTAAACAGGTGAAGGTGAAGGTCAGAGTGAATGAACACAGGCAGTGCTCGAAACGTCTACCTAGAAATCAAGTAGAATTAAAGAGTCCACCAATTAACTTCTAATTACATGCCCAGACATCGTCGAAGCATCTGCACAAGAAGCCAATATATCCAATCAATCGACGGGAAAATCTAAAATTCAATTAAATAATAAAACCCGTTGCACAAGAGGCAGTGGCTCTCGTGGCCCAAGTGGTCTATTGGGTAAAGCTTTGGCGTTTGAAACTATGGGCACTGGATTTGAGCCTCGGTGGGAACATCACCACTCACTGCGGAATGCAGGTACATCCGGCCGACGACTGCCACATAGGACGAAATGCGCATCCTGGATTCCACTGCTAGTCACCATCCACCAATTACAAATACGTGATAACTGTTTACATTTTCTATTGGTACAAATATCTACCAACAAGTCACCCTCAAAATGAGTTCACTTCAATGTATGTAATTTTTCACCATTTATATTTTGATAACCAATAAATTCTGCTGAAGGGGCTGTTGGCCTTACACATCGAAACGTTGATGAATCTGTTGTTTGAACACAAGCTGGGATTGTATTTTAAGTCATTTATAATAATCTACCCAGTTTCTAATGAAACGAGGATCTGTGTACAGACGGAGTGCTAAATTTTTTAAATCAAGTCTGTCAATCTTTACAATGAAAACTTAATCATGAAATATGATAACAAAAATCCCTAATGTACGTGAGCATGGCTTCTTTGTGTTGATTTTATTCAGCATCAAAGAGTAAGGATTTACAATTAACAACAAACAGTGAAATGACTAAATCTTACACTGAACTGCAATAACTACCAACCAGGACAGACATTGTTAATAAAATAAATACTTTAACTAAGTATTTAATTGGTGGATGGTGACTAGCAGTGGAATGCACCAGCATGCGCATTTCGTACTATTTGGGACTCGTCAACTAGCTGGATGTACCTGCATTTCTCAGTGAGGGATTATGTTCCTACCGACGCTCGAACCCAGTGCCCATAGTTCCACTGGTAGTCCCCATCCACCAATTAAATACTAATGAAATTCCCAGACATCGTCGAAGCATCTGCTCAAGAAGCGGATATGTCAACCTAAGACCGAGCACTTCGGTCCAATCAATCGACGGGAAAATCTAAAATTCAATTAAACTTTAGCTAAGTGTTATTGTAAATTTCTTTTAACAAATCCAGAGGGATATTCCATGCGATTAGTTACAACACACCTACAGTGACGCGCAAAAATCCAGAAACCACAAGATTTGACTAGAATACGGTACTATGACCTGCATAAAATAATTAACCTCAAATTTAGAGGTGTCCTGTCTATGGCTGAATGCTATCGAATACAAAGTCAATAAGACGTCAATTAGAAAAACAGCGAAAATGTGTCAAAGGTGATCCACGTTGTAGACTTAAACAGCGCGCGAATACCAAACAAAAAATATAAAACGATTCGAATAAACAATATTTAACAGAGAAGGGTATATAAATAGAGCATATACAGCTGATAATGCTGAACGATAAGAAATATATTAAGTGAGTTAAATTTCAATAGAGAACAAAACTACTTACTAGTAGTAAGTAGTATAAATTTGAACACAAAAGAAAGAATAACAAAAGATAGGAAAAGAACTGACAGCCACAAGACATTGTCTCATTCTCACTTAATCTAGTTATTGTGTATGTTTCATCAATAAAATGAATTTAAGTATGTGGGATCGACGGTTCGAAACGAACAGAAAAAGTGAACAAGGTGGTCAGATTTATAAAAACTAACATATCTGTGATTATCTAACTGTTCTATCTTGTTCAATAGATTACTATTTGGTTTTTTCTTTAGAGCATAAATTTACAAAAAACGTAAAAGATTGAAAGCATTATCATATATATATACATGTATATTACGTAACTCTCTTTTAGAAGGAAAAGTGATATCAAGAAGAATATGGTACTCTGATGATTTCGAAAAAGAATTAAATGAGTTGGATATCACTGGGATATTAAAGAATTCAACTGAGTTGAACAATCTATTTGAAAAACATCTAAAGACCTCTTCATCCTTAAAAAGTAAGTTCTCATAAAATTACTTTATACTTAGCACTACAGACTGTTTTAATTTCCTTAAATACTTTAAAAGTATAGGAATACACACAGTTTAGGCAAACAATAATTGTGACTAGATGTTGCTATTAAATTTCTGATAAGTTTATGTACTTACCCTAACCAGTAGTGCTTGCCAGCTAACCGAATCAAGGTGATCTAAACACCGACCGAGCTTATCAGCAGTGAACCTAGCCGGTTTAACTCAGCTCAGAGAGGTGGCTGGCTAGCTAGCTACCTATCTATCTAGCTAGATAGATTGATTGAAAATTGCTAACCTATTTGTACATTGTAGTGAATTTAAACATACCTTAAGATCCCATTGTTGTGAAGATTTTTCAGTGACTTTAATATCTAATCTTACTGTTTAAATGCCTGTCTTATTGATTTTTTGAATGGATGCTGAAAATATCAAGGTAAAAATGAGGCAATATCTACAAATGCGTTAAAGTAGTCTGTACTTGTGTTTACTTATACATTTATTAAATATATGTGGATTTACTCATTTTACTATTATTATTATTAATCTGTTTTTTATTCCGTAGGTGGCAAGGATTCCTCCGAAAGTTCAACTAATTATGAAGATGAAACCAAAGAACCATAAAATGATTCGAAAAAAAAAACCACTATATATTTAATTTCTGTTGGTGATAAAATCTCACTGTTTTTCCTTAAATAAATTTATTTGCATTGATCTTAATTACGGTTTATGACATTAAAAAAATTTATACAAATATTACCTATAAACACGTAGATAGAGACTTCAAAAGCACTCCACTCACTCCAGACTGAAATTATCTTGCGCTATAACATTGATTTTCCTAGAGATAGTTTGTAGGGATTTTGATTGGTTTCAAAATTTGCCCACAGATTGATATCAGTTAGAGAATCATTGACAACTAGATGAGACTACTGGACAGCCGTCTCGCCGTAGTCTGGAAGTCATCAGAAGTACCTACTACCGGGATTTTAACCCAGAACCTTCCGGTTACAGTGCAAGCTCAGCCAGTGAGACCCGATTCGTCAATGGCCAGCCCATGAATTCGAACTCCTATCAACCCATAATTTTCTGGCGTCACCAACACCCGCCACGAAACGAAACAGCTTTTCAGTACTCCCTGCCGGCTTTCAATGGTCCTCTAACTGATAACAATCCATGGTCAAACTTGAAATAACATTGACTGCTGGTCATTAATGATCATAAATCATAATTTATTCCTTTACGTACCCAGTGGAACATAGAGCCTCAAGCTAGAGCTTTGAAGTTTCAGTAGCAGTAATTTTATTTTTACGTGGTAGGGTTGATAGCCTCACTTCTTGCTTAGTGAAGTTTAGGAGTATGTCGGCCGGGAATCTAACCTCAGACACCTGAACCAACAACGCACAGGATAGGAATATACTGAACAGTAATTTGTTAATGGTCTATAGAATCAATATATTAAAAAAGGAAGATATGCACCAGATGAATACTTCATAAAATTATCTTACTAACACATAAATCACGAATTAATAATAGGATATATCAGAAGTATCCGCATAAGAATGATGACTACTCAGGGTTATAAGTGCACGTAACTAGCAGTATAAATTTACTTCCGTTTAAGAAGAAATATCCGGTCAGGAAACAAAGATTGTGGTCCTGCACCTGCCATCTACGAAATACACAGTTCCTAGTAGTTATATTGTGTTAGCATTCATTTGTATCCAGTCTTCAGATGATGAAAAGAATCTGTGGCCGAGACTATTTGGTCCTTATTGTATATAGAGGCTCCTTAATGGATAACGGAGTGTGCTAATTGTGCGAATCCAACACTCTGCATCGCAATCCGAGGAAATAGCTGTGGAAAGAGGAGAAAGAAGACAACAGAAAACCTCTGGTTGACACTTAATAACTTTGATGTAAACAGTTTAATGATGTAATGTAATACAAGAACAATCATAATAATTACAGTATTTATTTTACACCGATAAGTTAAGTTGTAGTTAAGAAATATTACTGTTATGACTAACAAATAGTTAAGATATATTGGTATATGCCAACTTACGCCATCTACTCCATAGACGTGATAATATCCGGCTGGCTATCGACCAAAAGACGTGTGTACTGCTCAGCAGTTCACTCCGTCCTCCTTTATGGCTAGCTATGAGACATGGCCATTGAAAGTGGAAGATATGAAACGCCTAGCAAGCTGTCTTTGACTACAGGTGTCTGCGTTCTTTCTCCCGTGTTAAGTGGTATAATAAGGTGAGTAATATTGAGGTTAGGCGTCGAGTGCTAGGTAAGGAGGGAAAATCAATCGACCAGGTTGTGAAGATACACCGATCGAGATGGTTAGTATATGTGTTACGCATGCCTGCCTCGCCATTTCCTTCCTAAAAGGGCAATATGTGGCTCAAAATCGTCCTCAATGGCTGACGCAGATGCATCCACTCCTTGTGATTTATAATATCCAATAAAATTCTATTGTTCTTCCATGCTAATATTCTTTTTCCCGCACAGTTTTGTTTATTCTCTCTCTTTTTGGTTTCTCTCTACTCTTTTCTCTTGCTTTGTATGCTACTTGGATTGTGACAACTCGAACTGCTTCACGTCTGTACGAAGTTCTACGTTGAAACCAGTCAGTCAGTTATCTGTAGAGAATTTGAAGATATCATGAGAAAAACTCTACACCAAATAAGACAAGGTGCATAGAAAAGGGTTAATAATGTGCATACTGTTATAGAGAATTACACAATAGGGTGTCTATGTGAAAGACTTAAAGGCAACTCATACTCAAACGTTGACATTCAGGATTTCTTCTTTGTTTTATCTGAAAGTCAATCAAATTCAGGAGCCGTAACAAAAGACACCGCTATCCCACATATATTCCCACTGTCAGATCTGTTGGTCAGCTGCCTCCACTTCCCAACCTTTTAAAATGCTACACCACGTCAAGATGCTTACGTTATTATGCAATTACCAGTATCACGTGTATGCGTTCTTTTTTCTACAACAAGTATTCACCAACATTGAAATTTGTTGCGGTATGAATGAGTACATTCAGTAGCTGACCTTATAACTTAAATAAGGAAGTTGTTGAGGACTAAACGGCTAAGCTCGTTTATACGCAAATATTAATAAATACTAACATGTATGTATGTAGAGAGGAATTCAGTCCTCACAAATTAATATACACATAAAATATAGTTACTTGGTGAGTTAAAATTGTCCCAATATACACAAGTAGAGACGCACAGAATTGTAGGGATGAAGTAGTCCTTATTTTTGGGTATACATTTGATCACTACGCGCGAGAGTATGCCAACACCCCGAGGGTATTTGCGGAGAGAAAAGGAGATTGAAGCAAAGGATCCGAATGTGAATGTACGGACCAGGTACGATTCAGAGATGATTGGCAGTAGTGGGAAGCAAGAAACTGGAGGCAGAAGTTACGTCGTCCGTATTGCGCGCTGAACCAGGTCGTGTCCTTATTCAGTCTCAACTAACAACCATGATTTGCTGTGAATTCATTATTTTTACTATTTTACAATGAATGCATAATTTGATATTTTTCGGTCTCCACTAATTTACTCGTTAACAGACTAAGCGGTTAGGACCCACGTCAAGTACTACATTTTTAAAGATAAAGAATTTAGAACATATGGATATGGAGAAAACTGTAACAGTTATACAACATAAGCAGATTTTACTGTATGCACATATCGACAGAGGGTTGTAAAACTATAATAAATAACCCACAGGTTTCGACTATTCTCATGATTCGATTTTGCAGAACAGTAAAACAGAGTTATTAAAATATTCGAAACTTTCACCGTAGCAAAGGAAGTAGTTTAGTTGGGGTTAAATGCAGTTGGATGACTGGAAAGGTATAACAGCAGATGAAGTGGGTAATGATTTGTAGGTAATGAAGATGATGTGGTTACAAAGGAGATTCTTCGTCTAGAATCAGTACAACGACCACCGTGCGAAAGTTAGACCATGCATTCCAGTCCATGTTTTCGTATGCTAAGATAATAGATATATGCAGTTGAGACTTGTTAAACAAGGGGTTAGATCAAACAAAGAAGACTTAGAATAGTATTAGTGTAACACTAATTATGCTAAATAAATACAGTAATTTTGGCCGTTTCTCTTAGTTTGCGGAGCTACTCAGCTATGCAAGTCAAATGCGTAAGAAACTACACCTAGGATTCTTAGGTAGTGGCAAACTGTGTCAAACTAATGCCAGTAAAAAGTTTGAACATTGCGAAATGGGTCAAATAAAGTATAATTATATTTCAATGGTTTACACACAATGATAAGTTTTTGTTATTGCTAATTTTGCTCGAAATACTACCAATAACAAAAACTTATCATTGTGTGTAAACCATCGAAAAATAATTATACTTAGTGTGTTAAACTATTTTCGAAGAAGTATTTATTTAGCAGTGAAGTGTCTTGTTGTGGTAATACTTTTCATTTCATCCATCAACAAATCCCACATATACTTGTACTTAACAGTAAAGAAATTAGAACAGGATTTAGTGTGTGTGTGACAGAGAACAAAGCTATGAGGAGACCCATTTTTCCAGTTAAATATGTGGTGGAGAAGTAATGGTTACTAGATGAAAAGTACAATATTTCTTTGAGAGTTTTAAGTAGAAGAGTGAGGTTAAGATTTTGAGGCCTGATCCACAGTGCACAAGTTTTATTCTTATGTCAATAAAAACAAACAACGCTGTATTAAGAAGCACAAGTGAAAACCTGAAGAGACCTACTGTCAACGAAACCGAACTTTAAAATCGCGAGACGAACACAAAATGTGCATAACCGCATAAAATGTATGTGTAACAAACGAAAAGCAATATTCAATAATACAATGGCACATATTCCACAAGCATATGTAAAATTAGTTTCTACAAGTGTATAACATGCGTACATGAATTAGTTTTATAAGCGTACAATTAGGCTCAATAAATTGTTCTCGAAACGTGGCCACATCAGTAAATATTACTGTATAACACTGTGTGTGACTTCATCAAAATGAATTTTAAGCATAATGCGATAACAATCTACCACAGTGGCCAAGTTTTATCCTTATATCAATGATCACACTTTCGTATTTCCTCTTAAGAAAGCTTCATTATTTGAAACTTCAGAGTTCCCCGCAAGATATTCTCATGTTATTGTTCGCACACAAACTGTTAAATAGAAACAAAGTGAAAAAGTGAAGATAATCGCCAATTCGTAACTTTACTCAGCTATTATCTTATCTGTTTCTATTCAACAATTTGTGCGCGAACAATAACATGAAAATATCCTGCGTAGAACTCTGAAGTTTATAAATGATGAAGTTTTCCTAAAACCTGTCTCATCGAAAGATAAGCCTGTTCTCACTACAGATGCATAGCCGTTACATCAGACAATATGGATGACACACATTGTCTGATGTAACGGCTATATTCCAAGGAATAATGTTTTGCTATGTATTTTATATGTGGGTAAAATTTAAGGAAGCTTTTGACGCATCAATGGAGGTACTGACTAAATAGTTCATTATCATTTCTTTGAAAGGAATCCAACACATCGTTTCGGGTTGCTTCAAGTAAAAAAGACACATCTGG